TAATAAGATCATTTTGCCTTTTTGTCAGAACAGACTGGAGAGAGCAGTGGAGAAGCAGGGAGGGCTGCTGGGAGCACGAGGGTGGTGGTTCTGATGAGGTGGGAGCGGTGGGGTCGGGGATGTGAGATGAGAGAGTGAGGGGACAGGTTCTGAGTATATTTTGAAGTGGAGCCAATAGGATTTGCTGAAAGTGTGGACCATGGTGTGAGAGAAAGAGAGGAGCTGAGGCTGACTCCAAAGCTCTTGGCCTTTTTGGAGGAAGGAATCTTCAACTGGGGTGAAAGATTGCAGGTAGAGCACGTCTCAGGGAAAAGATCAGGAGTTCAGTTTTAGGCAAGTTGGGTTTGAGATGTTTATGGAAATGTCAAGTATTGAGACTGGATATGGGTAAACTATCTGGGCTGGAGGTCTAAATTTGGAAGTGGCATCAAATAAGATTAGCACATGATTAATATGAAAATATAGATGTTATTTTAAAAATACAAAATTATATGGAATAAAACTGAAGATTTTCTTTCACTCTCTTACTCCAAACCCACTACTCTCCCTAGCAGTAATCACTACTAAAGAGTTATTATGTGTTAAGAAACTAAAAATATTCTGGATGCTCAATGCACCATATTTGAGAAGCAGAACCAACAACTGTTTTTTCATTTCCACATGCATTTTATCACATAAGAAACGGTGTTTGAGAATTGTTGAAGTATTTATGCATAGAATTGTTCCTCTATACTTGTATCTTCCCTTTACCCATACAGTACAGTAATGTAATTTCCAGAATGGGTGACAGAGCAGAATTTCACAGCTGTTTGGAATAAACAATATACTTAGATTTGCATGACTTTTTCATGTGGGAAATTAAACTGATTTTTTAAAGATTTATTTTTATTGATTTCAGAGAGGCAAGGAGAGGGTGAGAGAAATAGAAACATTAATGATGAGAGAGAATCATTGATCAGCTACCTCCTGCATGTCCCACACTGAGGATTGAACCCACAACCCAGGCATGTGCCCCAACCAGGAATTGAACCTCGACCTCCTGGTTCATAGGTCAACACTCAACCACTGAACCACACTGGCTGGGCTAACCTGATTTTTTCGTTGGTTCCATGTTGCCTTTTTTAGCAATCTGTAATGTATCTGAGCTAAGCAGTACTGTCTATTTAAGAAAGATTATTGATTGTAAAGTGCAGGGTACCTTTAAGCACCATAGTAATAATTCTCTAGACTTTAAGCATTTATGCTAAAATAGCACAAAGTTTCTGTACCTTCCACTAGAAAAAGATAACCTTCAGAATTTGAACTAATGCATTTCTGTTTTGCTGAGTTGACAATTACTCTATGTAAGGAAAGTAATGATGACTCCTCAAATATCCAGTTTCTTATGAGTTTAGAGCTTCAGCTATAATGAAACTCAATAGTCTTTCCTAGGAGTTTGCTCTTTCTTCCCTGAAATCAAAGAGGAAAGATTAATTGAGGGGGTTTCCCAGTGTTTTGTTTTATTTTTGGCAGAGCTCTCTCTGCAACATTTATCAGGAACCCCCACACATCTGGATGGACACATGACTTATCCCAATCAGCTGCTGGTTATGCAGCTGCTGATCCATCAAGGCAACCAGTAAATAGGAAAATACAAGAAAGAGTAAGGCATGCATTCCTAAGAAACTTACCGTCCCACTGAGCCAATAAAAACTCACCCGTAGGGAAGAAAATATCATTGTGAGAGGTTCGCAAGCCAACTGAACTAAGGCATTTTGCTGTGGAAAAACAAAAAAACAGCAAACCACCTTAATGAGTGAATGTTCTCGAAGTTTACTCTATGGATTTTTCTTGATATGTTGACACTGACTACTGTCTTTTTTCTAGAGAGATCCAGCACATAGCAAAATTAGTAAGTCTCAGAAAAACTGAAGATCAGCTTATCATACTTAGTTCAATAACTTCATTTCGGGGGTACATGAGCTCCTACTTTTGATTTAATTTTGCTGATAAAATGTTTCTATTCGCAGGGTCAAATAAAGAATATCAACATTACATGACACCCTGCAAAGAACTGTGTAACCTGAACAAATCTGAAATCTTATTCTCTTCTCGTTTTTCATGAGCAAATGGGCACAAAAGGCAAAGCAAAGGTTATATCCGACGACTCTTTCCTCCTCCCCTTCCTCCCTTACCTCCCTCTTGTCTTCCACCCTCCGGTGGTAGTTTTCCTCTGGGCTCTCTCTCACCATCCTTCCTCTGCTTCCACTCACCCACCACCCTAGTTCATACAGGAACAACCCTAATCGTCTTCAAACTGATTCCCTCCTATAGTTCCTGCCCATTCGAGTCCATCAGTCACCCTCTCACAGACTCACCTTTCTGCAACACAGATCTTCCTCAAGCCCTTTTCCTCTTCGAAATGTTTACTGATTCCTTAGTCCCCATCTAATCGTGTCCAAAAGTCAGAATCAAATCCTTCAAAATACAACAATTTCTGGTGTTTGATTAATATTTGAATGCAAAGTTTCACATACACATGACTATGTACATACAAGCACGTACTCAAACGAAATTTGAAAAAAGATTTCTCACATCAATGGCATAAGTCAGCGGCTCTCAACCTGTGGGTCGCGACTCCTTTGGCGGTCGAACGACCCTTTCACAGGGGTCGCCTAAGACCATCCTGCATATCAGATATTTACATTACGATTCATAACAGTAGCAACATTACAGTTATGAAGTAGCAACGAAAATAATTTTATGGTTGGGGCACAACATGAGGAACTGTATTTAAAGGGCCAGAAGGTTGAGAACCACTTGGCATAAGTAGATCAGTTTAAAATGAATGTGGGCTTATAAAATAAGCCCACTCCTGGTTAGTGGCTACTTAAAGTTGTTTTCTGATTCCTTAAGGAACAAAAGGTGATTTATCTTGACACCTATGGATTGAATGTCAGTATTCCCATCACTTAGAAATGATCAGTTTCTCTTTTTAATGAATTGTCCAGTCACTGAAGATTTAGTGGAATCAGCATCAGATGTGTTTATCAGGACTGTTGAAAGTCAAAGTGGTCGGGATCACATAACTTGATGCTTGCTGTAAAAAAAAAAAAAAAAAAAAAATGTGCCTGGCCGGTGCGGTTTAGTTGGTTGGGCATCGGCCAGTGCACCCAAAGGCAGCTGGCTCAATTCCTGGTCAGGACACTTGCCTGGGTTGTGCAGGAAAAAGCATGATCGATGTTATGCTCTCATTTCTCTCTTCTCCCTTCCTCTCTCTCTGAAAATCAATAAACTATTCTTTAAAAAAGAAAAAAGGAAGAAAATATGACTGGTGGTGTTACTTCACAGAGCCCTGAAATTGCCTAAGTGTCTATCAGAATGTTTGTTGTTAATTATGAGTTAAAATGTGTTCTACAAAAGTCTATAAGATGAACTTTATGCCAATCGATTATCACCCCTCTAGGATAGTACGACAGAGTACCACTCCCTTCTTCATCTGCCGTTTTATTCTTTATTGTTTAATAAACATGTGACACTTTTAGAATCTAGAAAAATGTCTATTTGAAACAATGAACTTTAAAGTTTTCTTCAAAAAGTCATATGAACAGTTAACTTTGCGATTTGGTGTTCGTTAAATATTTTGGAAAAGGCCATCATGGCTTGTCCCCTCTAATGAGTTCATTTCTAAATGACATCTTTCTATTCCAGTTAGGAATAGCCGCCAGACTCAGAGCTCAATCATGGGAGTTTGCTCATTCAATCTAATCATTGTTGACTAATTTGAATTTAGAATATTATCTGAACCTTGATTAGTCACTCGTCAAAGCACCTGACGGGAGAGAGATGAACATGATCGCCGTGTCGGCGAAAGCAGCCACAGTGCCCGGGGGAAGTCAGGTCTCCAGTTACACAGTCAGGACCGCCAGGAATCAGGCCAGGTTTCAGGGCTACTGCACATCCAATAAAAGATGTAAGAGTGAAATTTTTTTTAAAAAAAATAATACTTCCAATGTTTCCATTCCATGAGCACTTGACTTTAGACTTACTAAAATTTCATAGCCTCTATCTGTCTTGAAAACCTTCATACATGCAACACCAGGTCTCTCCTACCACTTTTGACAGCAACCCAAATATAAAATGTACACAACTGTATATTTGCTTTTAATATGTTCACAAATTTCCCCAAATGTACTAATAGAAGTACCTTAGTGAAGATAAGATGACAAGCAGACAAAAAATTCCTATGGAATATTCATTACACACGGGCTCCATGCTGGAACCATGAACAGGGATGCGGCAGGAAATGAGACCCCTATACCCGTCTTGGCTCGAAGGTGCTCATAGTTTGATAAAGACACCAGTCTAAATGCATCTGAAACTTAAGAATACTGTAGAAACCCTTCTAAATGTGTGTCTTCCCAATTTTAGAAGCATATTTTCCCACATCTTTCTCCACAAAAAATACATGTTTTTGTAGTTGTTTTATTTAGTTTAAGGTCCTTGGTGCACATGCTTTAGAAGGTTTGGAAAAATTATAAGAATTGGTCCTGAAATTATTGATGTCATTATTTAAAGAAGGCTCTCTCGAACTCTCTCTCTCTTTTGAGAAGAAAAATATGTGGCATAATCTAAGAGAAAACATGGTTAATAACTAGAAAATCCTCCTAGCCAGCCATGGAAAGAGAACAAAGGTAGCAAATCCGTGCGTAATCTCTTTCCACTACCCTGGGCCATCGCACGCAATGATTCTCTCTGCTCTTCTAAAAGACAGTCTTCCTCAAGCATGCATGCTTGCTGCTTTTAATGGAAGAGCAAGAGCACTCCCCATACCTCTTCAGTGAGTGTAAATCCTGTTTATATTCTTGTCTGCCCCGGTTTATGGCTTCAGGAGAATTCACTCTGTGTTTTGAGCACACGCAGCCTGTCCTAATTCCCTTTTTTGGCCGGGGGAGCCTCCTCAGGGCTCTTTAGGGGGGAAAATGGCTCTTTCTTCCTTGATCCCGGGGCAAAGTCAAAATGAAAATAACAGACCTAACCGGCCGTCCTCCTTCACGTCACCTCCGACTTCTCATTCAGAGGGGTACTCGGGGCGGCAGGTGGAGTTATAATTATAGATGAGAAAAAAGCCACCTCAGCAGCTGCTGCTTCTGTTTGTTCCCGGCTATAACTGTCATCATTGGGCAAATTGGCATAAACAGGCCTCCACAAGTGGAAAATCATTTAACCCCTGAGCTTGTCTGGGTGCTCTCAGCGGCCAGGAAACAGAAAGAAAACCTGACTGTGCACCAGCAAAGGGTGAAACGAACAGTGCCTCGCCGACCCGGAGGGCCCTGGCCAGGGGGCGCCTGAAGATTTTCTGTCCTGTCGGAGACTCCAAACCACATAAATAGGTTAGTGCCGGAGAGTACACCTCTGCGTTTTCATTCTGACCTCTCCTCTATCTGGTCTTTGTTTTTCGGACAGAGCTTAACGACGGGCTGAACTGTTCCATGAAAGAGAGTTATCTAGGACTGTTCTTTCAAAAAGACTGTAATCATTTTGAAATGGGCTGAATTTATTACGGCCCTCTCCCGATTTGGGCTGTATTCACAGCAGACAAAGAGACAAGGTAAAGGTGGAAATATGAAACCGGCGTTGTGGCATGAGTCCCGTTCTTTCGTAATGCCATTCGCTCGTGCCAAAAGGCCCCGGGTTGTTTTTTTAATTGAAATCGGGAATATTGAAGGCTTAAGTTTGTGATTACCAAAACAAAAAAGTAAGACCGTGAAGAGAGTCCCAGAGTTGTATTTCCTCAGGGAAACAGGCAAATTAGAATTGGATTATTTTCCCAGCTCTAAATAATAGAACTTTTTCTTGTTTATAGTCAGATGTGTGCTATAGGCTACTTTATACAAGAAATTGGCTATAGGATTTATTTCTTGTGTCTTGAACAATTCTGCCTAAAAGATCTATAATTTCAGTCTAAGTGGCTCCCTCAGACTTTCCTCATGGATCCCTTTGAGAAAATCAAAAGGTTTTAAAGAAATCTCATTTTATCTGTGTTCCATGTTAGAGAGTAGTTGAGCAGGAATTTCATAGATTGGCTTTGGGCCATCTTCCCAAAACCTGAATGTTTAGTCTCTTGGTGAAACGCCATGGAATTCCAAAGAACTCACTGAAAACTGAGTTTTGGGGCCCAGTTCTCATCCTACCCACTCCCCTGGAACAGCTCCAAGTGGAAAGAGTCCTGAATAATGGCCTCAATTTTTTTAGCTCCAAACAGAAAGCAAGCCATCCCTACGCGATTTGTGCTACATTTTTCAACGGGGAAGTGCATCTTTGTTAGTATCACTGCGGCCCAACATTTTGTCTATCTTTTAAAGTACCTAGAGTGCCAGCTATGCACTTGGAGCTCTATTAGAGAGACACCCACATCCAATTAAAACCAGCACAAGTAATCCGGTAATTAACTTCCCACAAGGGCTTGCTTCTTTTTTTGTTTCTTTTTTAAAAAAAAAATATTTTTATTGATTTCAGAGAGGAAGGGAGAGGGAGAGAAAGACAGAAGCATCAGTGATGAGAGAGAATCATTGGAAGGCTGCCTCCTGCACACCTCACACTGGATCAAGCCCACAACCCAGGCATGTGCCCTGATTGGGAATTGAGCCGTGACCTCTCAGTTCATAGGTCGATGCTTAACCACTGAGCCACACTGGTGGTGTGGGGCTTGCTTCTTCCTAACAATGTCTCCTGATTTCTAAAAAGAGAGCCATACTTCCCCTTTGGAGGTTTAAGGGTAAAATAAATGAATACCTCTGTACATACTTTGGCAAATGAAGGCCGAAAGATTAAGTTTGGTCACTGCTTTTGAAAATGTCAATCAATATAACATATGAATACCCCAAATCTTCCTGTGGGTTAAGAAAGTATATGTTAGGTAACATGACAACCTATCTCATATATCTCATTTATTTATTCAAATATTTAGGGTGGAATGGCTATGTAATCTAAAAATAATACTTAGAAATTAAGGCAAGCTTACAATTGCTAATATTATTCTTTCCAGAGATGATTTCCCTCCTTTTTCTACTAAGCACTTTAGCACCAAGATGGTGGTTATGTCCAAATTCCAAATTGTGCAAACTGAGAAAGGTAAAAAGAGGGGTGAGGTGACCGACTGCTTGATGGTGTGGGTTTCCTTTGAGATGCAGCCTTTCGCTTGGTCTTCAATGTGCTTCTTACTTGTATTTTGTGTTCTTGCTCTTCTAGAAAAAAACTATCCAAGATGACTGTCACTTACTCCAGTAAAGTAGCCAACGCGACCTTTTTTGGATTTCACAGGCTACTCCTCAAGTGGAGAGGCAGCATCTACAAACTACTGTACAGGGAGTTTATTGTTTTTGCTGTTTTTTACACAGCGATAAGTTTGGTGTACAGGTACTTTCCTTTGCATGCCTCCCTCGGTGGCCATCAGGTATCGCGTGAGAATACAGTCTCAAAAACCTGAGCCCTGCGGTGGCTGCTGACTTTGGCGTATGTAACCTCCTTCGCATGATTCTCTCTGTTGCCTTCTCCCCGGGACAGGGTATTTTAATCCACACCGACCGTTTTTAGGATGGTAAATAGACTCACACTGTCATGTTCCGCTGGTTCTCTCTCCAGCCCCACATGAAGTGATCGTGATGAGGCATTAGTTGCATGTCAAGAATGTTGCTAGAGGCACAGAATGGAAGAGTTATACTTACTAGTAGATCCTCGCTACGTAATGATTTTGAATGGCAAAGTCCACAAATGAATAATTTCTGGTGCCTCTCTCAACTATGCCGCTCATAGTTGGAATTTGTGATTTGAGGGCCCATAGCAACTACCATTGTAATGAACGTGTTTGTGGCTGGTGTCTATCAGGCATACAGACCTAATCTAGGAAATTCCCTTCCTTTTGCCTGGAGCCCACCCACCTCCCCAATATTTCAACTAAAGAAAAGGCCAGAAAACTCACTGATTGTCTTTGTATCTTCTGAGCTCAGGCCGTGCTATGTTTACAAAAGGGGGTGTTTCTTCCTTATCATTTCAAAACCTGTGCCTGTCAGATGGACAGGAAATGTGAGCAATATTATGTCCAACAAATGCGTTTATGACTAAAAATTAGTCTTAATGCAATTTTTACCAGTATTATAAAATAGACGCTTTTTTAGCTTTTTAAAATTAAAATTGGTTGAGTACATTTCTTCTCTGGGGGGAATTAAAACAAACTAGAAAAGCTAAAGGTTTTTGAGGCTGTATTTCCACCTTTTCTATGTACATCCGTTCGTTATTTTTCTTCTGCATACAAATGAACACATTTGTATAGCATTGCTCTCACCTACATTCTTCCTTGCAGCAATAGGACCCCACTTGAACAAGAGGGATATTGGTTGACTGATAATTTTCAAAAGTAAAATAGGAAGACCTATGTAGCTAAATATCAAAATCACCATTTCGAGAAACGTATATATTGGTATACATTTTGGCCAAATGTCTTTAAATGGAATGTTGTATTAAAAACCTCTAATAATTCTTCAGATATCTCTTGTAATAGTATTTTGACAACTTATTTATGTCTTACCTAATCCTTCAGAATATGAGATGATGAAAGACACATGACATGGATTGTCTCAGTTTATTTTTACTAATGTGAATTTATTGCTGCTACTGCTGCTTAGAATAGAATAGCCCTTAGAATGGTTGCATTGTAGCCAGAAATGCTCCATGGAGCTTTAACTCTTGCTCCAATATCTTATTTACACCCCACAAAATTATATGCATATATTTTTTCTAAAAACCAAAGAGTGCTTATACTTATAACAATAACCATTAGTTCAAGTCATTCTTCATTCTTTGAAGTCCAATTGTAAAAGCTTGTTAAAATAGATCCTTATATCTTGATCAAAGGTACACCAAGAATTATAGGCTGAATTTGTCAAGAATGTCAAGTATACATGTAGAAAGATATAGACATAGTTTTCTTCCCGTGTCTACTAATGGCCCTAAGTTTTTTTTATCCTATTAAAAGCAAATAAATATAATTAGCAAAAGTCATAAGACAGCACCAGAATTCATTAATTTGATTACATCTCTTCCTAATTTTGTATGGATTTGACAAAATAATCGCTGTAGTACTTTCTAACTAGTAAAATTTCTATATGTGTCTATTAGTTAAATATTTTTTCCTTTGGCCAACTATTAATAACTAGAGGCCCGGTGCAAGACATTCGTGCACTTGGGGGAAGGTGGTCCCTCAGCCCAGCCTGCGCCTCTCGCAGTCTGGGAGCCCTCGGGGATGAGCCCGACTCAGGGCTTCTGGGTGAGCGGTGCTTCTCCTGTGGGAGCACACTGACCACCAGGGGGCAGCTCCTGCATTGAGCATCTGCCCCCTGGTGGTCAGTGTGCATCATAGCGACCTGTCGTTCCCCTGTTAGGTTGATTTGCATATTAGCCTTTTATTATATAGGATAACAATCATTTTGTTATTAAGTACAACACCATGTGTTATGTTGTTTTATATATTATTTAATCCTCATAACATTCCTGATGCATAGTTATTATTATCCCCATTTACTAGTACACCTGAGAAAATAGAGGCTCAGAGAGATTTTAAAGTATGCTCAAAATTCAAATCTGTAAGTGGCAGATCTGGAATTCAAACCCAGCTTCCCCTGACCCTATGGCCTGTGCTTTCCACAATTAAATCCTCTTTGACCATTTCTATTGGAGTATCCAAAACCATTCTGGCGGTAACTTTTCATCAGCATGACCTGATGGGCTCTGCAGAGAGGTGATGCCTCTCTTGTCAGCTTCTCCTGACTCCAGAATTTCTGACACCTCTTCCAAAGCTGAGGCCAGAACTCCAAGCCCACCCCATGCCCCATACCCTGCAATCCTGCTTTGTCAGTGCCAGCTCCCATTTCTTCATCTGTGATCTGATTGCTGGCTCACTGTTCCCTCACTCTCCCTCTACTTCCTTTATCGAAGTTCTGCTGACCCAGACAGGCCTCTGAAGCATGTTAACACGGGCCTCTCCAAGGGCTTCCCTTCTCCTTTGGAACAGCTACACTCGTTCCCTGATGCAAACCATCTCTGTTGCTTCTCTTTCCAGATTTTGATCATTATTAACCTGGAGACATTCCTTCTGACTCTGCATCTCCTCCCTGCAGCACAAATATTAATAATAATTCCATTAAATGAATTTATGTCTAACAGTATCATGAAGTGAATTTGGGTTGGATCTATAATATAAATATAACATATTTATATTATGTTAATATAAACCCACCAAATGTAATAATAAAAATTTCCACTTCTAATTGTTAAATCTGTTATTTTATATTTTAAATAATTGCAGGCTTTAAAATAAAGTTATAATATCCCTTGAAATACAACACAGAAAATCAAGAATGTGCTGAGTAGCATATTCAGGAGAAAGCAAGATCAAGATGTTAAAATCAGGGTGATTATTCAATAATAACTTAATAACTGTAATCCTCTTAATCAAGATTTTTTTTCTCTTTGAGTACACCTGATGAATGATTGAAAAAGAAACTATTTTATGAGGTACTGTGCTCCAAACCCAATGCATTAATCAGACAAAAGTTTAAAATATAACGTCTTTAAAAATAAAATGTTCAATAAATCTAATGGCCAATAACATTTATGTACTAAAAACATTCGTACTTGAAAGATTCAGCTTTTGAGATACATCAGCATAGGTGGAAAAGAAAAAGTTATTGCTCCTTGAAAAAAAAAATTTTAAGATTATTTGTGCTTAATTGTTTGCACTGAATATCACTTGCAAAGCAGGTGCAGAAGTATAATATAAAGGGCTGTGCGTTTTATTTTTGCTCCAGATTGTTACTTACAGGAGCCCAAAAACGTTACTTTGAAAAATTATCAATTTACTGTGACAGATATGCTGAACAAATTCCAGTAACCTTTGTGCTTGGTAAGTATAGGTCACACGCAGAATGCAGCCACACAACTGTCTCCGTTAGGATGACACCGATGACTGCATGGGAGTGTTTCTGAGCTGCAAGGCATGCCTGAAAAGCCACCGCTTGCAATAGAACCAGAATCATCCGTAAGGTTCACCCTCAGGGCCGCTTCCGCTACATTAATCCCAAACAAGTGTGAGGTAATGATCTGCTATTGGACAATGAAGCTTTCTCTTCACTAACCCTCCATTTTTGCTGTCAATTTTTGAGTTCTAATACCCACTTACTGGGTGCTATGGCATTGCCAGGCACAAATGATGTTTTTTTTTTCTGGAGGGCAACATCATAAGGTCTGGATAACAACGTATTTTTATACCCCAAACCGTAAAAAGGCTAAAATTCTGCTAAACGCATCGGTGTTGACGTGTCTGCTCCAAGGACGCGCTTTATCATTTTCCTGCGATTCTACAGGGTTTTATGTTACTCTGGTCGTGAACCGATGGTGGAACCAGTTCGTGAACCTGCCCTGGCCAGACAGGCTGATGTTCCTCATCTCCAGCAGCGTGCACGGGAGGGACGAGCGCGGGCGCCTGCTCCGGAGGACACTGATGCGCTACGTCAACCTCACGTCCCTGCTCATCTTCCGCTCGGTGAGCACCGCTGTGTACAAAAGGTTTCCGACGATGGACCACGTGGTGGAAGCAGGTATTGTGAATGGCTTTGCTTCCCATGGGCTCCTCTCAGTCTAGATGGGAACCTTCAAAATTCCTTTGAAAATCCCTTTTATTCATTCATTCATTCACGAAATATTTATTGATTAACTACTATGTGCTAGAAACAGTCTTCAGAGGGGAAAATGATAAGACATGGTTCCTGCCCTCAAAAAGTTTACTCGAGGGTTTGGAGGAAAAGAAACAACAGTCACATGACCTATAGGTAAATATGATAATTATTATCATCTTTATTTAAACCAGCGGTTCTCAACCTGTGGGTCGCAACTCCTTTGGGGGTCGAACGACCCTTTCACAGGGGTCGCCTAAGACCTTTGGAAAACACATATGTAATTACATATTGTTTTTGTGATTAATCACTATGCTTTAATTATGTTCAATTTGTAACAATGAAATTGGGGGTCACCACAACATGAGGAACTGCATTAAAGGGTCGTGGCATTAGGAAGGTTGAGAACCACTGATTTAAACCATCCAGCCCCAGTTGGTTTGGCTCAGTGGATAGAGCGTCGGCCTGGGGAATGAAGAGTCCCAGGTTCGATTCTGGTCAAGGGCACAGGCCCAGGTTGCAGGCTCAATCCCCAGTAGGGGGTGTGCAGGAGGCAGTTGATGGATGATTCCCTCTCATCATTGATGTTTCTATCTCTCTTTCACTCTCCCTTTCTCTCTGAAATCAATAAAAATATATAAACCATCTATAACATTACCTTACATTTTCTACCACTTTACAGTTAATCCATTTTCATGAATATTATTTCCCTTGGACTTTTTAAAAAAATGAGAAAAGTAAGAAACAGTCTCAGAGAGGTTATGAACAGCCCTGGATCACACAGCGCACAGTTGTAATCCAGGCTCAGAACTCCTAAATTAATACTTTTCCCAAAACATTAGGAGATTCTGGTAGGAACCAGCAGTGTGGGTTTTATCTAGGCCGACCCAGAGAGCTGCAGTGAAAGACCACTGCAGTGTGGGTCTGTTGTCTCGCTATTTCTCAAAGCAGATGCCGTTATCCTACCTGGGCTCCTAGGTACGCTGCGCTGAGTAACACTTATGCTGGAAGATGGTTCTCTTTGGTGTGCTAATATTTAGAGAAGCTGTGAGTTAAACCAGCCTTCAGTGGGGTGAGGATTAAATGAGATGATTGTTGGCATATGCTGAATACATATTGGTTGTTGTGCTGGATTCTTCTTAATAGATGGAAGTGTTTGTTGGAACGGATTAATGAATGTGTACCAGACAAAAGAATCATGAGATGATTCCATTTTTATATTGAGTATGCACTCAAATTAGGTTGCTGTGTCTATTCTCCTTCTCTAAAATGTCCTTGAAAATACATTTTTTTAAAGGATACTATTTTTGGTTTGTTTTTGGAGGTGTTTTTTTGGGGCGGGGTGTGGGGGCCTTTGGTTTGGTTTGGCTTTGCCTTGTTAGATGGGTAATATAGATAGTGACTAAGAACACAGAGTAAGAGTTCAAATTCTTCCTCCACCCCTTACTAGCTACATGACTTTGTGTGCATTTCTTAACCTTTCTATGCTTCACAGTTTCCTCATCCATAAAATGAGTTTATGGTAATTTATAATACCACCTATCTCATATACCTCATTGGCTTCTTGTGAGGATTAATCAAGTTAACATTTGCAAAGTGTCTACAGCACTATCTGGCACACGGTAGATGTTACAGGATGTTACTAGTTCTTGCTAGCAATAATGAAATCACCTAGTACAACAGCATAACATGGCTCTTTGGCCACTTTAGAAGACGTGTTTGATGTGACATCCTAGGTCTTCTTAAACTAAAGGACCAGGTGGTTGAGAAAGTCAAGGCAGAAATCAATAAGGAGGGGTGCTGAGGATGTTGTTGGGGTTACAGATGTGAGAAAGTTTCAATAGCCTAGCAAATGCACAGATATATTAAGATGTAAAAGCAGTAGAAACTTTTAAAAATTAACCTCCACACCCCCTCCAAATGCAAAAGGTGAATAGTGCTTCAGAATGATGAAGTCGCAAACACTACTTGATAACTTAATTTTCTTACCCCAACATCTATAGCAGTGGTTCTCAACCTTGGCTGCACATTAGAATCACTTGGGAATCTTTTTAAAATCCTGATTTCTGGGCCTCCTCCGGAAATCCTGTTTCTTTGTTGCTAATGTTGTGGCCCCACCCCATAACAAAGAAACAGAATTTCCGGAGGATGAGGCCCAGAAATCAGGATTTTAAAAGGATTCCCAGGTGATTCTTATGTGCAGCCAAGGTTGAGAACCACTGATCTATAGGATCAAGTGCAGTAAGAATTACCACATCTGAAGAAAGACCCAAAAATAAATGAGAAAGGTTTGACCCATTCCACACTGATGAGTGAGAGCTAAAGTTGACTCGGATGGATAAAGGTGATCTTTCTCTACTCCTGACGCATCCCTGACATGAAGAGAATGCACGCTGACAGGAACCAGACACCAGGCGCAATTCTCAAAGCAAATCTCCTCCTCTCAGCGTCATCTCCATATTAAAAGCAAATCAGGAGGGAGCCAGGATGGCTGGGGGAGGAGAGGTTTGGGGGCCTCTGGGCAGACCTGAGCTCAAGAAGGCTGAGTTGTGCCCCGGCCGGCTGGGTTGCTCAGTTGGTTGGAGTGCAGCTGTAAGCAAGAACAGATATGGCCCATGTCCTCAAAGATCAGTAAAAATTATTACAAATCTTTTCTTACATGAATCTTTTTCAGAGACAACCACAAGTACAGCTGAATTTCATATCTCTATGATTAATTTCTATTTCTCTAAAATAATTTCCTCTGTGCCCATAAGAATGGTGAGAAAAGAGTAGAATTTGAGGAAAGGGCACTCTACTTTTCTTAAAGCCCTAGAATCTTTATATGAAGTTTCTTGAGCTTCTTCTACGACTAGAAAGAGCTTAACGAGAGCCCTAGGGAATTCCGTTCAATGCTGATCGTTAACAGACATTAATACAACTAAGCAAGCTCCCAATTGTCAAGTGGCCGGTGAGATAAAGATTCTAACTTTAGATGCACTGGCTGGAAGGCGAGCCCCATTGGAGTTGCTGGCGTTATTTAGATCATTTAATCTGTGATCTTCTCTCACTAAGTAAAACCAAATGGATTTTGTGTTATATTGACTTTCTGCCCTGTGGTCTCCTGCTCACGTTTTCCCTGGCGCATTGCATGGCTCTGGGGCTCCTTGGTCTCTGAAATCTCCAACTGCTCTGTGTTACAGGAGAGATGATCAAGGGCCAGTGGTATTCACAGCTGTGCCAGTTTTCCCTCTGTTGGCTGAACTTCTACAGGCTGAGTCAGTTTCTTTTTTTCAGCCTCACATGATGAGCCCAGACAGACAGAATGTCATCCTGTGAGAGAAACCTGACGCACCGTGTGCACTGGCATTACCCAGGGGAGAGAGTGTGCCGGAGAGCTAGCCCATCCTTGAGTCAGCACCACGTACAGGCAGTCTCGGCTGGTCACTGTCTGAAGGCTCCCCACAGCTCTCTTTCAGGAGTTAAAGCAAGGCTACCCATTCAGTGTTCCTCAAACTGTCAGTGTAGACCGTGCTCACTGAATTATCTGGGGTGCTTATTTCAGTGGCAGGTTCCCAGGCAATGGACAGAATCAGAACCTCTGGGGTTTATGAGCTAGGAATCCACATTTTTAACAAGCTCCGCAGCAGCACTGCAGGATCTGACCTGGACAAAAATGCTGACATGGCCAGTTTGCCATGTCATTCCATGCTCAGGGTCCTTGCGCTAGTTGGAATCACTAGAGATCTTCTAAAAACACTGGTGTCTGACTCTCCCTCCCAGGAATTAGGTTCAATAGGAATAGGGTGCATCAGTGGTTTTTAAAGCTCCCAAACCATTCTAATGTGTAGCAAACTTTAGGATCCATTGCACTAGGTACATCTATTAACTCCTCAACTTTATCTGCAAATTGTCTCAAATCTATTCACAGAGAGCTAATGAAATTCTTAGCTACCTGGGCAGGTGAGGAGGTAGAGCACTGACTTGTGTTGATAGTTCCTGTGTGTCATGTGTGCAAGGCAGTGAATTACTGATACACATAGGATACTGATTTAGGGGTGGGGAGATGGCTGACTCATATCGAGAACACAGAGGAGTTTCTCTGTCTTTGTTCAGCATAGCTGTTCCAGAAACTGATTTTACTCAACCATTTCCTATTTTGAGCTGCTTAAACTGTGAGTTGTAACTTAGTATTGGGTTCTTAAGTCATTTCTTAAAAAATGTATTTTATTGATTTTTTATAGAGAGAAAGGGAGAGGGATAGAAAGTCAGAAACATCGATGAGAGAGAAATATCGATCAGCTGCCTCCTGCACACCCCCCACTGGGGATGTGCTCGCAACCAAGGTACATGCCCTTGACCGGAATCAAACCTGGGACCCTTCAGTCCGCAGGCCAACGCTCTATCCACCGAGTCAAACTGGCGGGCTTAAGTCATTTTAATGGCATAGCTTACAACCAGCATTTTAAATGGCATGGAATGGGATGGAAAACATCGGGTAGAAGAGCCAATCATTGTTTTGTGAACCACACGTATCTTACTGTGGTTCGTTGTATAAAATGTCTGACAGACAGCCCCACACAATGCCTTCACAATGTGACTCCATCTCAATCTCATTTCGCCTCCCCTTGGTTTTCCCACTTGGCAGGGATTTCTAAACCTCCACCATTGAATTTAGAGGACAGCTGTAGTTGAATCTGGTGGCTTCCTGCCATTCATATGGGAAATACAAAGATGAAAATGAGCCAGGCACTTTGCAATGTTCCTGAAAAAGTCATCTCTCTGAGAAGGGCTCAGTTGCTGAATCACAACTTTCTCTTTCAGAAAGAACTGGCAACAAACCCATCCTGCCTTCAGGTTTTCAGATGCAGGGCTTGTAGCTCTTCTGGTAATAGAGCCTCATTTGCACACGCTGCTTTAAAGGCAAGACATCTGCCTCAGCTGCTACCGAGGAAAAATAGATCAATTGTACAGACAAAATCTATGACAACTGGAATACTGTTTGTCAATGGACTTAATTAGTCCTTTGACTTGAGGGCAATAAAATTTGCCTTGAAGTAGCAGAACTTACTCCATCAAACCACAACTCAAGTTGCAAGCAAATACAAACATATGTGTGTGTGTGTGTGTGTGTGTGTGTGTGTGTAGATTTTTATTTACTTTGACCTGAAATATTAAGGATTCTTTGGGATAAGCAGTAGGAAATTGCTGAGCAGAGCTGTACCAGCCAGAAAGCCAGAAGGAAAGATATAACAAGAGAAACTCCAGGCAGGTGCAATGGCGAGATAAAATAGCAATGTCAGGAGCATGGATAGGGCCCGCGGGAGCATGGCGTGAAGACTGACATGGGAAGGAGACAAAGGTTGTGAGGACTAGCCAACTGATACTGCTGCCAAACGGTAGGAAATCAATACCTGTGGTTAACTTAGCCTTAGAAATGCGGATGAAGACCACATTCTGAACAAGATCACCGGTTTCTGGTTAAAATGGCCTGAAGTACTGATGAGGATAACACGTCCTTTGATAGCAAATGCTCTTTGAATTGATTTGATCAGCAATCTAGAGATTTTCTTTCAATTGATCGAAAACTTGGTTTCCAAAGACAGGGTTACTTTGGCTAAGATGTGTGACCCCACAGGGAATAACAAAAATTATTCTGCCTGTACACTCTTGGCGGACATATTAATGTCTGGTTAATCATCTTTCAATATATTTGGGCTAAAATTAAAAACCACCAGCTTTCCTTGCTTTGCATGACCGCTTCCAGTCCGTGGTAAGTGTGCTACATGGTGGGGAGGTGGGGGAAGCCTGACTTCAGCTTTGGCGTTTGCACTAAATAAACCCTCACTCTTTTTCAATGCTGTTGTGAATCCTCATCTGAGGATATTTTTTTCATTTATTTTTAGAGAGAGTGGAGGGAGGGAGATAGAGAAACATAGATGTGAGAGAACACATCAATTGGTTGCCTTCCACACGAGCCCTGACTGCGGCTCAGGACTGAACCTGCAAACCATGTCTGTACCTTTGACCAGGAATCGAACCCTCAACCCTTCAGTGAGAGGGCTGGTGCTCTAACCACTGAGACACTGGTCAGTGCTAAACCCTCACTCTTCATATTTGCTTTCAGCTAAGAAGCCAAGAAAGGACTTGCCAGCAGAATTTGATCCATATTCCTGAATGAAAAATAACTAAAAGTAAAATTATTTCTTGGTCAAATGACAGAGATTGCAGCCAGTATACAAATGGGGATATTTTTGAAAATTGCACTATAATCCCAAGAATATAACTGTGAAGTAATTGATATGAAATATCTGAGAATAGGTTTCCAGGTAAAGGATGATGCATAGAACCAAGACAGGTCAAATTCATCTATTAAATTCTTTCTTTTAAAAAATGGTTTTTGGGGTTTTTTTTAGGGAGAGAAGAAGGGAGAGATAGAAACATTGATTGAGTGCCTCCTGCTTGCCCCCTACTGGGAATTGAACCTGAAACCCAGGCATGTGCTCTGACCAGGAATTGAACGTTGACCTCCTATTGCACGGGACAATGCTCAATCCACACAGGTCAGGCCATCTATTAACTTCTTGTAATAAGAATTAATCACGCTCTGCAAGTTCTGGGCGGGGTGGGGAGGAAAGCATAGTTATCTGGCTCGTGCAATGGCTTTGAGATACACCAAGAAATGAGAACAGAATTAGGCTCATATTGATTTCTGAACTCCGAAGAGAATCCAATTTCCCAGGCATGAGCAGAACCCTTCTAAGCTAATACAAATAATCTATTATCTAAAACTAGTCTCCTGTTAGTAAATATTGGCTTTGTAGTTGTTACTCTGTTTGTTTCAAATATGAATAAACAGAATCTTCTGTCGGTGGGGCAGTGATTTTCAAACACTGCTATAGATCAGTGCCAGGTTTTCCTGTAGAGTTTGGCAAACATGCAACTTCCTGAGCCCAGTTCCATGAAATCACCCAGCATGCCGATGCCTGGACCTCACTCGAGAATCAGGCTCGAGAATCAGGCTCTGGGGGTAAGGCCAATGCGTTGGTATTTTCTAAAAGCATCCACGTGAGACTCTGCGCTATGGAGTGCTTTAGTGGGTGAGGCTGGGGCCCAGCGCCCTCCAAGTGCAGGTATCACAGGTGATTTCGATACCCTTATCATCAAACACACTGGCCTAGATCATATAAAAAATCTAGGTAACTCCAAAGCTCTATGAATTGGTGACTCTCAAAATGACCAAGTCTCACTTTTCCCTTGACTTCTTTGTGCTACAGCAACACCTCTTAAGTAAAATTCAGCCTTCGTGTTTGGGAGGGAGGACTACTTTAAACAGGATGGCCAGATTCATACACTGATTAAGATGCTCAAGGATAAAACTGTCACATTGGGGCAAAAGTAAATTTTTATCTAAATGTGTTATCAGAATTTCATAAGTAAATGGTTTCGTTACTGAGACAAAAGTAACTGAAAAATTATTACTTCACAAATAATCAGTTTTTGAAATACACTTTAATTCAGAAAATATTATTTATACTAAATCATAATGAACATTTAAAAGTGCACTTAGAAAATCAAAGGGGTGCCTGGCCAGTGTGACTCAGTGGTTGAGCCTTGACCTATGAACCAGAAGGTCAAGGTTTGATTCCCCGTCAGGGCACATGCCTGGGTTGTGGGTTCCATCCCCAGTTGGGGGCGTGCAGGAAGCAGCTGATGGATGATTCTCTCTCCTCATTAACGTTTCTATCTCTCCCTCCCCTTTCCTTTCTGAGATCAATAAAAATATATATTTTAAAAAGTCAAAGGGTTAAATACAAGGATAGTCATGGCACCATTAACTTTAATAACAAAAATTTAAAAACTACTTCAAGTCTATTCAAAAGAGGACTCATTAAATAAGTATTTTATACAGTTAACTAGGATGCAGCCATTAAAAATAAGGACCCTGCTCTCTATATATTAATAAATAATATCTTCAAGATATAACGAAAATAGAAGCAAACAATAGACATGTGTGTCATATAAATCCATTTGTGTTTTTAAAAATTAGGGCTATGTGAAATTCGTGATATTTTTCTGGAAACTGTGTGGCTGGGAAAATGAGACTCCCTTTCCCCATTAATATTCCTTTGGCCCTTTGGGGTTTTTGCACCATTTGAATTATTCCCTTTTTAAAAAATAAAAGGTTAAGTGTAAACTGTAAGCTTTTAGTGTGAATCTTTGTATGAACAAACCCTGGTCCATAGTAGACATTCAATAAATGTTTATCAAATAAACCTGCTACGTTATTCCGCCTACTATTCAAATCTCTCCTTTCCTTGGTTGTAGATGGGAGGGGGTGGGTAGCTAAAGTTTCACATAGTACATTATGCTTCAGCCCTTACTGAGTACTAAGTGTGTGCTAAGCATTGTCAGCCTCTTGACATGTGTTCATCATCTCAGGTAATTCTACATCTCAGTGAAGTACATATTATCATCTCTCTTTTACACATAAGAAAACCGAGGCTTGGAGAGTTCTCTGCAAACTCAAGCAAATTGTGTTATACATACACACACACACACACACACGCACACACACACACACACACTTAAAGAAGCACCTTTCAAGTAGATGCAAAATGTTGTGAGAATGATGAAAATAATATGCTCTTGTCCTTCCCAAGGAACTCTGCAGGGGAAACATTTCTGGGTAACATGCCATAATGCACGGCAAGAGAGAGCCGGTGGTGGGAGCGTTGAAGCGGAGAAAGTCCGGGAGGGAGGCTTCACAGATGAGGACCTCATTAATTAAGACTTGGAATGGAGTGGTCAGGAGAAGAGTCATGTGGCCATGTTTCCACACTACACTAAATGCTTTGTATACATTATTACCCTTTATTCTCTTAATCCTAAAAATTCTAAGTATTTTCGTTCCCAATTTTGGATGAGTAAATCAAAACCTAAAGAAGAAACCTTCCCCAGATGCTTGGGCCACACTCAATATGGCCTTACTCCCTACTGGCCATCTCTGTCAAGGATTGCCAACATGCATTGCCTCATGTAGTGAAGCATAAGTTGTGTGTTCACACACCGTGTGTGTGTGTGTGTGTGTGCTCATGCATACACATTCCTTATCTCTAACACAAGTATAAAGTACTTGTGACAGGAACCTCGATATTTCCTTAATATTCCTCCATTATACACTCACATAGTAGACACTGAAATACTTATGGCAATGTATTAGTGCTAAACTAAGTCTGTATAATCCAGCTATTTTTATTTTGTCCAAAGGTTTTATGACAACAGATGAAAGAAAATTATTTGACCACCTCAAGTCGCCTCATTTGAAATATTGGGTTCCATTCATCTGGTTTGGAAATCTGGCAGCGAAAGCCCGGAAGGAAGGTAGAATCAGAGACAGTGTTGATCTACAATCATTGATGACTGTAAGTACATCATAAATTGTCACACACACACACACACACACACACACACACACACACACACACGATGCTAATCAGAGACCAAGAGGGAGCTGGATGTGACAGGTTGGACCAGGGCGAATCTGCTTTGCTTAATTCAGAACCCTCAGCATGCAGGACAGGATAGCACACAGGTTCTAACTCAGGTTGATTGGCATTTGGTTGCTTGGAAACTCTGTGTTAACTAACAGTATTGGGCTTGCAATGTGCTCTGTAGGAAAGTGTCCCTTGATTGATTGGCAATGTCTGCCAAGGGTTCTGCAGGATCTGGTGCCCACACAGCATATTTGCATCCCTGGCTCCAGGACCTCCCCAGTCAGTTCCCCAAATTGGAATAGTTCAAGGTTAAGCCAGCTTTTCAGATGCTCCAGGAAACAAAATTGTGTTTTTATTCAACAAAATAACCCTGAATTCACCTGAGAAACAAATTAATGTAAGAGCTAGATAGATTTGTGCCATGACAGTCTCCTGCCTGGATTAGGCTAAGAGGAGTGAATGATTTAAAAATAGCTTCTGAATGAAAGTGAACTCTTCTTTCCAGTCTCAGATAATCATTTATGTGCAATTGGGGGGTGGGGAGGGAGTCAATGGATCCCAGTCCTTCCTGCTTCAAAGAAGGATAGATTTTCTGTCAATATAAGCAACCTTATTTGGCAGGGGTGGAGGGTTAGGATAGATTATTTCTTTTTTCTAAGATCTATGGCAAGCATGTTTTAAAAACAGAAAAAAACAAACAAAAATATCTCCATATAATATACCAAAATGGCTAGAAATGACTTATCCTATATAATAAAAGCCTAATATGCTAAGTGTCCAGTTGACCAGTTGGCTGTTCAACCAATCAAAGTGTAATATGCTAATGATATGCTAAGGCCACTCAACTGCTAACTATGACATGCACTGACCACCAGGGGGCAACCAGTCAACCAGTTGCTATGACATGCACTGACCACCAGGGGGCAGATGATCCAACCCGTTGGTTAGCTTGCTGCTGGGGTCCGGCCAATTGGGACTGAGCAAGAGGGGCCTGACATGCCCTGGAGCCCTTCCGTGGTCCCTCCCCAGCTGGCCAACCTCCTGCATCCCTCCCCAGCCCCTA